TGTGCTGTATTTAGCTATGCATACATTCTCCGTGTTTTTTGGGGAGCTAATTTAATGCGACAGAGATTTTTTTTGCGGTCAGCGAGGCAGAGCCTTGCAGAGATGCTATAAACGTTAGGTAATGTTAGCACGCTAACGGTAACGTAACCTCCGGACTTCAGCCAAATACGTGCAGTGAGCTGCTCTCTGATGAAAGACTGGACCGAGACCCCCATTGTGCAAGTTGCTTTCAGTCAAGAGTTTTCAAAAATGTGTAGATATTCATTAAAAGCGAACAAATAAAACAGTGACATTACATAACAGGCTGAATTGAGCGGATCGTTCCGCTACAATAAACGCGAAGTTCGGGGTTTTTTTTTTATGGCCGATCTTTGTCGTGAAGGTCCTTTCACAAAAGATTGGGATGTTTTTGGGGGTTGTGGGGAAGCCTTTCCGCTTCTGTAGCGATCCTTATTACTCAGGCTTTGAGCTGGAATATAATGCAAGATGCTAGTTAAGATGCAGCAACGGATGAGGGGGTATTTATATCTCTCTCCCTGATTAGCCAGCTACACTTAACGTCTTATAATTAAAGGAGGTAGTCTAGGTTTTCTAGTCATGCCCGACAGGTTTAATTAACTGTGAACCAGCGATCACTGGCTTCTCTGGCAGCAATTCAACAGAGATTAAATTACAGCAAAGAAGAAGAAAAAATAAAAATAAAAAAACAAAACTACCTGGTGATTGGATTGTGTGTGTGTGTGTGTGTGTGTGTGTGTGTGTGTGTGTGTTGTTTATCAGTGCTTTTCCTCTTAAATCTGCCACACACGCATGTACCTTCCTTGAAGCCCAAACTTTTTTACGTCATGAGTGCTGTGTTGGCATTTTCTTCTTAATGGCATCACTCAACAGGAGTGCACCTGGCATTCTTGAACGCTGGAGAACCATCCCTCTTGATAAACACAGTACATCTCGGTGCCTTTGCATGAGTGGCTTGTGCAGTGTCACTTGTTGATCGTGCGTGTATATGTGAGTTTGACGTCTGTAAAGGTGTGGTGGAACTGGGACTATGGCATGCCAAGTCCTAATCAAGAGGGTGTTGGCTTCTACAGCCTTTTAAGTTTCCGTTTCTGGTGAACCAGGATCAGAAAGGGAAACCTATAAGCTACAAACAGCTGGTCCATAAAACTGGATCCAGACTACTGGAGGTCTGACTGAAGCAATTTTAAGGCTAGAGTGGGCATAATTAAATAAAGTTCACATAAAGCAGCAGTGAGACGGGCAAGAGAATGTGTCTGCTATATTGATTACTAAGCATGATGACTGTAAAATTTCCAAGAGTGTAATAGGGATTTACAGATGCTTTTTTTTCCCACAATGAAGAAATTGCAAAATTGTACTTTCAGTAGTTTTGTCTAAATTAAGAACCCATGTCATTATACCAAAACCAAACCTTATGTAATTTCTGACATCACCGACTCTTATTCTTCCTGTTTAATTTCCAGTAAAGAAAATAAGTTGTAAAAGTGTCCAAAGGTATTTTAAAAAAGAAAAGGAGAAAAAAGTCATTTTAGACTTCAGACCCAGTGTAGCCATCATAGAGACTGCCAGAAAACTTAGAATATTCAAAGTAGTTTTAAATCACACACACAATTTATTTTTTTTTTTTAAATACACTTTCAGATATTTGCACACAGTTGTCACCAGCCCAATCAAACGCTGCACACTGCAACACCATTGCCAGCACAGCATTATCACCCACCACTCCTGTAGACAACCGAGAAAAAGGAAATACCCCTAAAAATGTGTTAATCTGAAACCCTGCTAAACTTTTCTTCGCAACTATATGCAGCTTTTCTGCCAAGGACAATATGAACTGCAGATTTTTTTTAAATTTATTTTTCTTGAGGACTCTCCGCCAGACAGACAATAATTTATTGAAATCTGTTTTTCATTCATATTTCATAGCCAGAGGAAATGGATTTAGTTTGCATTCTTTTTTTCTTTTTTTTTCTTTTCTTTTTCTCAAATCATCGAAAAGGGAATGGTGGTATCTGCATTTTTTTTACTTGGTACAGCATGACCACAGTTGGGGTTTCCTTTTTTTTAATTTAATTTTATTTTTTTTAATCTATTTTATTATTCCTACATTTAGATACTGACACGAAACCACTTCTTTATCACTAGTTCTGAGTTGTTCTTTTTCTTTCATTCCACAGATTTAGTGAGGGTAGAGAAAAGGGGAAAACCTAAATCTTTGACTGAATGGTGACGGTCTGGATCTGAACCTTGTTCTTCCAACCCTTCTGCCAGCTCTGAGCCTCATTGAGCTCTTCCCTACCGAAAGCAACTCCAACTGAAAGTTTTGTCACATTTGGACCTGTTAGCTCTGCGTCAGCTTGAATATATTTGAAGGAGTATACACTGTAGAAAATAAACAGCAGAGATTTTCTTGGATACTTCTGTGTGACAACATGGCAAAGAAAAACAGCCAAAAAGGTAAGGGTTAAGACAAAATATGTAATGTAATTTATTGTAAAGTACTTGAAAAGTTCTTGATTTAATCACATATCTTTATAGTTTTCTTCCAAGGAACCAGACTTTGTTATTTATTTTAAAGTGGTTTTCAGGAATAGCTCTCCAGGTTTTCTGAAGGTCTTTCAAACTTTTTCTTTGGACAATGACTGCTTTTTCACCCGTTTTCAGTTAAGTCTTTCTACCTGACAATTTTCAGAGGAATGATGTGTTTGTTTTTCAAGCCACTTAACACTGTCATATGAATCAAGCATTAAAAGGTGCTTATCTGAAAGGAGGAACCAGTGTTGTGTCCACATATACCAGAAAAGGTTTGCAAAGAACCAATTTTATATTGCATCTTTAGGAACTTTTTTTACTAGCAGCCTGTTGCAAAAGCACATCATTTGTTCCCATTGTTTAGTTCAGTCCTTGAAAAATGCCAATGATAACACATTTAAGATGTTTTTTTTTTTTTCCACCACCGAGGTGATTTTGTGCTATTAGCTTAAACCTTGGCATATCTCAGGAGTGTTCTTCTTTTTTTTATTTATATTTTTTTTTTTTTTTTTTTTTTGTTTTTATTTTGTTATTATTCTGTATTTTTCTTGTTTTGAAGCAGATGTCAAAAGAACTGGGAGGCATTAAAAAAAATCTATCTACAGCAGATGAACAGTATCAACGACAGAAATGGTCTCAGTAAAAGGGTGGCTGTTAAGAAGCCATTCTTAAGGAAGGAAAATGGCAGAGAAACGGCTGATGTATAGCAAATTACACGTCTTATAGACTGATGAATTCAAATTTGAAAGTTTTGGTTCAAATAATCATCATTAGCCATCTGTAAAACACAATTGAGGTTCTGTAACGTTTTGGGGCTACATTTCAGCCAGTGGTGTTGGGGACCTTTTCAAAATTGGACTTACGAATGCAGAAAAGTACAATCAGTTTTTGAAACGTCATACGATGCCGTCTGGAAAGCATCTGATTGGTAGTAGCTTCATTCTTCAGCAACACAATGATCAAAGATGTTGTTAATGCTGTAAAAAGGATACCTGGATACAAAAACAACCCCAGACCTCAACATTATTGAAGCAGTGTGGAATCTATTTGATAGAGAATTGATCACAACATCCAGACAAGAGCTTTGTCTTTCATGAAGCCTGGAGAACTATTCCTGAAGATGACTTAAAAAAAACAAACAAACAAGAAACCTTCTCTAAAAGAGTTCAGACTGTGTTACACAATAAAGGTGGTCATGCTAGTGCTGACTTTCTCTCAATACGATATAGCCTTTATACTGCATTTCCATGTACCCGTTTCAACGAATTGCTATGTCCATTTCCCTAGCAAAAGGGACACGAAGGATGGTGCAATACTTTTGCACAATACTGTATCTCTATATGGTGCACAAGAATTGAGTTACAGATGGGTCACAGCAATAAATTATTCAACAAATAAATGTATGCATGATTGTTTTCAGCTAGAATCTAATGGAGTTGTCCTGAAAGTACGTGCAGATGGCTTTACTTTTACAGCGAATTGGAGCTGTGGATATTTACAGTGACATTAACCTACTTCCATGCATGAGAAAAACAACTTTTACAAGGGCTCAGCAGTTTCCTCCCTCTTGTGTCTTTCAATGGCTAGAGATTAACTGTGGACTTCACTCTGACTCTTCGCATTCAGCTGAAGGCCTTTTGTTTATCATTTTAAAGATTAGTGTCATCTGACCTTACAGGAAGAGATCTCATTTTACCTTGACTCAGCTGCTTGTCTCAGTGAGCCAGATTTATTCTCCTCCTGCTAGAAGAAACTCTGAAGTTTTTCCTTCTTGAAAGAATGTCTTTTTGGATGCTATCATTGGTTATTAGTCATTAAAATGAGATCCGTGTTCCAGACAGTTCAGGCACAGATGTGATGAAGTCTTCTTTTTTCTTTTTCTTTTTCTTTTTTTTAAGCGCTTCCTTTGTGCTTGTATCTGAAGTGGTTGTGCTTACATGCTTAAATAACACATCGTTCCACCTCCACAGTCCTGTGAGGCTGGCATCTTCATTTTTCACATTTGTTTATTTGCATACAGGAAGCAAAATCTATTTTCTCAATTTCATATGTAAATATTTTGTTTTTTATCATGTAGATTAACATGTCACGTCACATGTCTGTTTCACAATAATAATTCTGCTGCTGTAACCTGATTAGTATATTTATAAAGGTGGCCAGCAACTTTGTTTTTTGTTTTTTGTTTT